GCATCATGTTTGTTTTTCTTTATTTGGTGAAAAGCACAACACTTTGTTTTTATTGTGAGTATCCACAAAAAAAATAGAAACTTAACAGGATCTAATGATGTACAACACTTATATGTAAGATCAAAATTAACCGAGTATTTTGAGTCTCTTTTACACTGATAAGAAAAAAAGCGAGACAATCGCGCCGGCGCGATAGCCGACCCCAGGGGGTTAACAGCGGCGATGATGTGTATTGTTTAGAGTCCTTGCCACCATGAGACAAATTGGCATTGCAAATTGAACATGTAGCTCAACTTGTCTTTAATTGCCTTCTTTTGACTGAAAGTACTGCTAAACAACACTTTTTCTGCTCAAAAGTTCCATTTTCACTTTCTCACAGCCTACTGCATTCGAACGGTCCACCTACTGCAACGAGTGGAAATAAGATGTGTCCCCTTTAAGAGCTGCGCGCTCCCTATTGAACTGTCTGCCGTCTGTATTGTATGTGCCGTGCGCCTCGAACACCCCAAGTATGCGAGTTATTTCTGTTTGATGCTCATATTTTTTATCTTATTTTGTTAAGTAACGCTGTGGACGGTAGAACGTGTGACTGACAGTTAGACGAGTTCGATTGGGGAATAAAGTGCGAGTTGTGAGATGCCAGTCGCCTCCGTGAGTCTGTTTTCTTCCTGACACAACGCGTAACACTACAGGCTTATTTGACTTGAACTGTTCGGTTCGGTGGAAAAAAATTCTAAGGTTCGGCAGAAACCGAACCCTGTTAAAAAGCCCAATATTCGGCCGAATCCGAATCCTGGATTCGGTGCATCCCTAGTTATTAGTTAATGATAAACTAATAATTTACAAAACATGTCTATATTCATAAATGAATAAGTGATGTGCTAACATTTTATGAATGTTTTGTTAACCCTCTGGGGACCAAGAACGCGCCGGCGCGTTTTGCTGTTTTTTTTTCACATAGCAGCAACATAGACTTAAAATACATTTATGGTCATATAAATAAAATCAATACATGATTATAAACTATAGAGGGTCTTCTTTTTTTGTGTACACTCACATTAACATCAAAACCTTGTTTTTTTTTTTAAATAAATAAAATAAACAGGGTGCGCTTTCAGCTCACTCTGTCTCCGCAAAAATCTTTCTGAAACATGTCTGGAAAATTAACGGAAACTCAGCTAATACTTATCACACAAACATGAAACATACGTCTAAAGAACGCTTTAAATTTCTACTTTTAAATAAAACAATTCACATTTAAAACAAATATTCTCCTGCAATGTAATCTGTATGAAACTAAAGAGAAGTACAGTTTCTCCTGTCTCAGCTCATTATCGTTAATTTGTTTACACCCACTCGCAGAGTGATCATATTGATGTAATGCGCACCATTAGAGACCGAGCAGATCTGTTTTTTTTTTTTACCACTACCTACTGAAGTGTTTGCGTGTTTAGGTCATTTTTAGATAACCAGTGAAGTATTTCTCAATTTCTACAATTGTACAAATGTTGCTTTATTTCATGACTGTGTGTTACAGTGTGGCAACATACCACTGGTGGTCCATTCAATTATAATATACAGCATTATATTTATTGTATTCTTATTTGTTATTTACACTATAAACAATATTTACATATATACACAAAATACTCATATATACACACATACTATATTTATACAATATAATATATATACACCTGTATCTATTATATTACATTAGACATGTATATGTACATATATATTTAGATTTGTATAGGCTAGTTAATAAATAAATATGTTATGCATTATGAAATTATAATAAAAAATGCATAAGGAAACACTGTCTTAGTTTTGTCTGTTGAACAGAGTCATGAACAGAGTGTGAAATCCATAGTTTTTACAAAAGTATATGTACAATATTTACATTTACCGTATTTTCCGCACTATAAGGCGCACTTAAAAGCCTTTAATTTTCTCAAAAAACGACAGTGCGCCTTATAATCCGGGGCGCCTTACATATGTATGGTGAACACACGTTCACCAAGACGGGGAGACAGCGCCGGGCGACTTACGCCACTACCTGTCAATGGATCGTGGATGCCTGGGCTGAAATATCAGTCTCAACTGTGATCCGAGCTTTCACGAAGGCAGGAATAATCTCTTTATTCAGCCAGCTCACATACCCGTATTTACTTCCTGTTTTCGGCCGAAGTCCACAGTAGTTGATTGTCGAGTTCGTGCGAGCGCGATCAAACCTCCTCCGTGTGTTCAACATCTGATTCGGATGAACTATCCATTTGAGCTGATATTCTCAGAACACCACACAGCACCGTCATCGGCTGACAGCTGACAGTCTGAGTCTCCACTGTTGCTTAGTTACCAATGATCGCGCGCGCGCACTCGACAATCGCCTACTGTGGACTTCGACTGAAAACAGGAAGAAAATACGGGTATGTGAGCTGGCTCAATAAACATCATTTTTATTCATATCTTTCACATTTACTGGAGTCAGATTCACCGTGTTCACTCACATGGCTGTGCACTTGTAATGACACATTAAGGTTGTTAAAGCCTTGAATGTGCAGTGAGACTTATAGTTTGAAAAAACCTCACTTTGTAATAACAAAGAGGAAGGTCTTTGGCAGCGGATCTCAGTACAATCCAGGATAACCTGTGTGTCTCGGAAAAGATGAAATTCCTCTGGCAAATGGGCTCGTACTCTATCTTTCGGCATCCAAATGCACACTGACCCCAGGACAAAGTACAGGAAATTGGCCCAGGTTGTTATGATGCGGCGCACAGTGGCCTGATGTACATGGAAGCGATGACCAAGGTCCTTTTGCTTGAGGCCCAAAGCAAGATGCATCATGAACAGGAAGAATTCGTCTATTGCAGGAAGTGCCCGAGTGTTTCCAACCTCCTTGGTGACTTTGGAGTTGGTGACACGAATCATTCTGTGCGTTGCCGGTTCAATCAGTTCCCAGAAGGCCATCAGGTGGTTATAGGTTGCAAATCTGTCAAGAAATAAACGTGCATTGGTTCTCACATGGCATAAAAGACTTACACTTAGCTTTATAATATAGTCATTTTCAGTTTAGGAAATAAGAATGGTGAACTACAAGTAATTGATACAACAATCTTGTAATACATCATGAGTCATGAAAATTATGGAATTCCGTATGTGTGATTAAACTAACTCTGATTGCTGTTGAAGACAACAGATGTTATTCATACATATAATTATGTTAGCCTATGTTGTTGTTATTATTTTGGTCGGTGTAGCCTACTTTTACGTGCAGCTAGCTTATACAACTCAAATAATATTTAATAACAACGTGGACTAGTGTTTTCAAGACAAAGGCAACGCTATTACAAATGCTTATCACAGACAATATAATTTTACCTTGTATAAAAGCGTATGTCCTCATCGGACCCAGCAAATCTCTGAAGACCGAAGCGAAGTACGATCTTGGTCTGATCCAACTGCTTCCGTAGATCTTCTATCTCCCTCGTCAACTCCTCATTTTCATGTAATACCATGTCTACAGCTGCAGCTTCGGGAACTGAACAATAATCGTGTCCAGTCCTCTCCACGTCAAAGTCCATATCTTACTCTACGTCCGAGTCAGGAACAGGGGGCAGCGGTCTCTCTCGCCGTTCCCAAACACTCGACCTCGGCGGCTGCACTTGGTAACGGTTCCACTCAAACAGTGTAGGGAAAGCACCTTTTTTCAGACGTCTCAGTCTAGTCCCTTCCATAAAGTCATCAGGTTTGAAATGAACACTACACACCTTGGTGTTTGTTGACTTGGAAGTCATCCCTCCTGATCTTAACGATCCATTTTTTTCTGAGATCCTCTTCCACGGGAAATGAATGAAAACTCACAGTCGAGTTGTATCTTGCCGACACAACGCACGACGGCACACAACAATGTTCCGAACTAGGTCGCATTAGCTTTTGATATCGGAAAACCTTTTTCTCCATAGTTAAGCTACCAAGATAAGAATAACTAGAATGTTTGTCGTTGTTAACTTTCGCGCGTCACATCTAATACGGAACCGGAAACTGTTGGCCCAGTAGAGAGTGTAGTTGGAAACACGTCACAATCCCCGCTGCATAGAGCCTATACAGAAACCCAAAAGATATTGCAGCAGCTCCGTGTCCTGTGTCTTTTACTGACTATATCTTCCCTTACCAGGCGGTGAGGGTACTACATACACAAATTACCATTAATGAAATGCTTAACATTACTAGTGGACAATTCAAAACATTGATTTAAACTGACAGATACCTCCATGTTTAACAGCTGTCTTCTCACGTGTTTGCATATGTGCCACAACATATGCATGCATACTCTCCCATTTTGCTGCAGAACTGGCATTTATAGTTTGGGGCTTCAAAATTTTGATTTTTTAAATATACTGTACCTTCCCTACAAACTGTTGGATGAAGCTGGAAGAAAATAAATTAAGAATTAAATTTGTTACACACATCAACATTTCATTTGCTGGTGGACAAGACCTTTAGAATTACTGGTATGGTGAATTCATGTAAACCTGCAACTAGTAATCACAACTAAGAATCTTGCATTATTCTGAATGCAGTGATGTGTGGGATATATGTGGAGGGGAAATAAATAACGTTACACGTTGAATGTTACAGATTGGGCTCCCAAATTACACTAATGTTTACCCTTACACTGTAAACCCCAATAAGTTCATAGTACTCAAAACTTTTGCAGAAACTGATTACATAATAACTTTTGAGGTAAGTAACTTAATTTTTTTAAGTAAGATTTTTTTAAAAGTTACAATCTAATCAAACTTAAAACATTTAAATTTTATTTTTAATTTTTTTAAGTGCACCATGCTTAAAAATATTGTTTAACACTCGCACATTTTTAGTTTCTCCATACTTAATTATTTTGATCCAATGGTACTCAAAAAATATACTTGTGTATAACACACAAGCTAATGAAATTTACAAGTTAAAACTACAAAAAAAAAAATAACTTCAGCTGTACATTTTCTTTTTTCTTTTATTCAGTCTTAAAATTTTTATACAAACATGTCAGACCATCAACAGCAGTCATTTTTTAAAACTCTGTTCTAGCTCAGGTGTCTAACCATGTGCCATGATGCGCTAAGTGACTCAAGTCACATACTAGTTTCACCACCTACCCAAAAGCTGTAAGTGTGTTAACCAGTGAAATTACCTGGTGAAGTATTTAGTTGGAATGGAAACCTACATGGACACAGCACAATTAAACACCTCTTCTCTAGCTACAATTATAACTAACATCTTGTTAAACTCATTTAGTGCATGGTTGTGCATTTGTCTCTGTGTGTGTGTGTGTGTGTCTCTGTGTGTGTGTGCGTGTGTGTCTCTGTGTGTGTGTGTGTCTGTGTGTCTCTGGTGTGTGTGTGTCTCTGTGTGTGTGTGTGTGTGTCTCTGTGTGTGTGTGTGTCTCTGTCTCTGTGTGTGTGTGTGTGTCTCTGGTGTGTCTCGTGTGTGTGTGTGTGTGTCTCTGTGTGTGTGTGTGTGTGTGTGTGTGTGTGTATGTGTCTCTGGTGTGTCTCGTGTGTGTGTGTGTGTGTGTGTGTGTGTGTGTGTGTGTGTGTGTGTGTGTGTGTCTCTGGTGTGTCTCGTGTGTGTGTGTGTCGTGTGTCTCGTGTGTGTGTGTCGTGTGTGTGTGTCTCGTGTGTCTCCTGTGTGTCGTGTGTGTGTGTCTCTGTGTGTGTGTCTCTGTGTGTGCGTCTCTGTGTGTGTGTGTCTCTGTGTGTGTGTGTGTGTGTGTGTGTGTGTGTGTGTGTGTGTACATATGTATCTCTACATATCAAACAGGAACAAGATAATCAGGAACTGAGCATCTTAAAGTGCTTAATATAAAAAGTATGAAAAGAAATGCTGATTCCTTAAAACAGCATTAGTAACAGCAATGGCCATCAAAGTGCAAATGGAATTAAAAAAAAAATGTATTAAAAAAAGTAAATAAAAAATAAAAGATTTGGTGGGCAAGACATAATCTGCCAAATGTAAACAGTTTCAAATGCTTTGACTAACATGGTGTTCAACAACATACTATAAAGTTACCATACTGGGAACCCCCAAAACACATCAACATGCAGACAAGAAAATACATGTGTAAACAACTCTTAAGTTAGCCTACTCTTTCATTAACAGGTCATTTTTGAGACTCAGTAGGCAGGGTTTAAGTGGTTTACCATCATCAAGACCCATTAGGATTTTCTGGATGAATGTAAAAGTGTGAATGAGTTTCTTGGGATAGTTCAAATGCAATGCATACATCAACCCAAACAACAATGCAAATGCATCAGCCAAGTAAGGGATATCACTCATCACAACATCGTCTTCCACAACAATGGAAATACTTGCAGGACTGAAATGAACTGGATCTGCAGTGTCCTCTGTGACTGCTGTGACAAGAGCAACAGGAGTGTCAGTGATGCCTGGCTCATCTGACTCCTCCACCTGAAAGACACAGAGGGTGCAACTGTTAGGTTAACTTGAAGAAACACAACAACTGCATGTGCACTCACTGGCCACTTCATCAGGTGCACGTGTGTAACCCAATTCAATCCAATACAACAGCTCTCCTTTAAATTCTACGTTTATGAATTTTATACATTTTCAGTTTTTGTTGACATTGTCAGAAAGGTGATAAGTCTACTTTATATTTATTACTGAGGTTGTAATACATGGTGGTGGCATAGTGGGGTGAATTATATCGAATGGTGTTCCTAATATTTTGCCCCTTTCTTGTATGTTAATGCAGTGGACAAAATATTAGGAAACCCATTCAATATAATGCACCCTAATACATAATTTTCACCCACTATGACCTCAATAATAAACATAGAATTTTCAGCTTTCTGACAATGTCAACAAAAACTGAAAATATATAAACTTTATAGATGTAGAATTTACATAAGAGTTGTTGTAATGGATTGAATTATATTGCACAGGTGTACCTAATGAAAAGGCCAGTGAGTGTATATTACAGGGGATTACTCAACAGGTAAGTACAGTATATAGTAGGTATATCTCAAGTAACTATTCTACAGGCCAACAACCTACAGGTAGGAATACAGGTAAGTATTTTACAACTGTCTATTCTACAGCCCATCATAAAAGTAGTAAGTGTAGCAGCAGGTATTTTACATTTTAATATCATACAGGTTGTTATTTAATAGGTAAGTGTACCCAGGTAGGTATTTTGCAGCTGAGTATTAAACAGGCTATTAATATGGAGTTAGGTATTACATAGTAGCGGGTGCTGTATTGTGATATGTAATGTACAGCATCTCATAAAAGGTATTTAAGTAATTTTTACAGAGAGAGTGTGTTATTTCATGAGAGGTTAAGCCAAAAGGTCAATCAAATGATCAGCCTTCTCCAGGTCTGGGTTAAGTTAGGCCAGGGCTTTGTGAGAGATTAAGGTTTGGGATTACATGAGGTTAGAGCTTTTACATATATATGTATGCTTATATGCACATACTGTATATCCATGTGCACACTAAGTACAGTCCATTTACCGTTACAATGACACCTACACACAAGGTTTACTAAGGGGTAACTAGATATAGTTAAGTGGCTGCTAGATACTAATAGTTCTCTGAATATACTGAATACTTACATTACAAGTCTTGAAGAACTGTGGGTCCTCCTCACGCATGTATACCGGGAGGGCACGAAGGGCTACAGTACGCTTCATATTGACATCGCGCACTTCCTGGAAGAACAAGCAAAAATGAATATTACAGATTTCAATCTTCTTTCAGTATGGATGTTCTGACCAAATTCATGGCATTTGGCAAAGTGTTAGACAGACAATGACACCCTGAGGCCCTGCTGTCCAGTGGGACCTGAAGCTCAAAGTTCATCTTTAACTCACCTGGAGATCATAAATCTTTAAGATGTCACGCAGCGCCTCTGATATCTTTCCGGTTCGTGCCGCCTTCTGCCTATACAAGGCCATCAGTCCAGGTGTATGTTGGTCAAGCACAGCATAAAACTGGTTCCGTAGGTTGACGTTTGTGATGCGTTGGAACTCAGCACAAAGCTATGTAAGGACTGGGCTAAAAGGGTGAATCTGAATAACTAAATACATCCTGCTAAAGACCCAAAAAGACTGAATGCAACACACACACACACACTCTCTCTCTCAGGAATGGCCAGAGTCATAAAATGCTTTTAACATTCCATGCCATCCCCCATCTCTACAAGAGAGATAACAGAACTCTGACACACACACACACGAACCAACACACACACATAATGAACCTTTACATTACACGCATAAAACGAGCCATTACCAATTGTATATGATATATTCCTGTATGTCTGTGTGTTTCCCAGTCCATGGTAGTTTAGAAATGATCTCCTAGCGTATCAGTGAAACTCTTGAGAGTTTAAAAGTTATGTATTAAATGTATCTTCATATTCCAATTATGTGTAAATGTTGTGTTTGGTACCGTTTTAATTATCTCGTTCCAACTGATTTGGTCAGATACAGAAGATTACAGTAAAATGTATGTTTTCTATGTTTTTATCATCTTGTGGAATGATTCTGACAAATTCTGACTGGTCATAAAAGAGGCGGACACGGCCATAGTTTAACTTTGACAAGACAAAGAGAATTTGGCCGCCAAAAGTTTCGTTGAATGTCATTGGCCAGTTCGCACCTCAGAGGTGTGGACTCCAGTTCCTCTAAAGAGGACTGAACCTCCCCCTGCTCTCCCTCTCTTCCTCCCGTGTCCTCGTGTCATGATGTAACGTCTCGCCTCCGGGCGAGCTCTTCGCCTTTCTTTTATTTGTTTCTAGTTTAGTTTGTTTTTCAGTTGTAGATAAGTCTCTGTGTTTAATTCCAATCGACGATTGAAAAGAAAACCCCGTGACATATCTCTTCAGTAAATCCATCTACAAGGGACCTTTAAACGAGCGCGCGCTCGCTTTGAAGGAGAAACACGCGCACGTGACCGCGTGACGCGCCGGACCGAGCGAAGCACGCGCTTCTTCGCCAGCCATGCACAGATGGAACATTAACTCCTCGTGATTCCTCCGTTCTACGAAGAGAAACGAACTCAGCCGAACTATTTTCCTTCGGTAATGTTACCCCAAAGACTGTGAACCTCCGTTCAACACGCGCGCCAAGCAGCCCGTGATGCTTCACACACAAAGGAATCCTCTCACGCACGCGGCCAGACAAGGCCGCGCAGGATTTCCGCGACACAGAGAGAGACCATAACATAAGTTGATTGCAAGTATATCTCTTTATAGAGCTTCTAAGAAGTTTTAAGATGATGTTTCGTGTTGTTATCAGAGAGGTGAATGTCTTCCTGCCAATGAAATTCTCCCAATTTCTCTGTTCTCTCTCTCTTACTCGCTCACGCGTGTAAGTTATCCATTGTCCAAACTTTACGCATTTCTCGTTCATTGATGTCTTATTGTATTGTTCATTGATGTCTATGTGTTTGTAAATACATATATCCCGTGTAACCGTAGTAAATACATAAGTAGTCATGCCTTTATTAAATCCATTATATTCATTTTGATTGATGTTACTGTGTCTGCTCATACTCCAGGTCTCTGAAATGAATAGATCAAGCTACGGCTTTATAAATTAAACATACTTTAAAGAGTATGTGTTTATAGGGCAGAAAACCCAGTTCTTCTGGCCAGAGAATTGCGTTTCCTGAAATCCTATGAAGTAAGATGATATGTGGGATTCCCCCAATATTAATCTGACAATTGAGCTAATTAAATTTTACCTGTCTGTAAAACGTGATCTATGCAATCAACTTGTAGTTAAAATGCAAGGATACACGTATGCATGCAGGTAAAATGATAGATCCTCCCTTAGAGGGAGAGTAAATTCAATGTAAGACTGATCTAATCCAAACATGTATGAATAATTATTAATTACCAATTATTAATTAATTTATGCAAATTCCCCACGGATTAGATCCGCCCTGAATCCTTACAGCTACAAAAACAAAAACAAAACAAAAATAATTATATAAAAAGACTAATACTAGATTTGCAACAGAAAACACATTTGTGATGCAACATGTTCCATTAAAACACACTTTTGAGCAACATGGTCACACATGCAAAGTGATAGTTCTTACCGACAGAGAATAGTGGCATTTGCTGTTCCATTTGAATGTGATACATATTCAAAATTGGCATAGAAATATGTGTGAATAGTGGCAGAAAAGAGAAGTGAATCTGTGTTTTACCTGTGATTCAATCCGAAGAGCTGGCCATTTCCCCAAGAAGTCCTTCACCTGTGGATTTTCCTGAATTATCTCCTGGCGACGAAGGGCAAAGGTCTTCTGCATTAGCATTTCTATCAAGCGTAGGTTTTGCTGACTCTTCTGAACTTCGTCCATAATCTGCAGTCTCATTTCTTCCAAACTGGCCTGACTTTCTCCCTTGGGAAAGTTTGGAAGGAAGTTAACTTCAGCTCGTCTGGCTCTTTTTATGTTGGAGTGTGGGTGATCTTTGTCAGGGTTATTTTTGCTCCTTTTACCTGCGTTGACAGACACCTCCAAACATCCAGATCTTGACAGCTTGCCACGATAATCCCCCATCTTAAATTTCAGGCTCATTTTCCATCCATACCATCCACTCACACTTCCAGGCTCTTTAAGACAAGGATGAGATGTAACAAGAGCTTCAGCTGCCATACCCACATCATTGTCACTTGGGTAAGGTTTGAAGTTGTACATCACTGCAGCCATGTTCTCCAAGATGTTGTGCTTTTGGGATCTTGTTAATTTCAGTGTCTTTCCAGAAGTTGCAAAGGCACTGTTTCCCTCTTCAAGCACATGCTCCACTTCATAAGAAAAATTTGGCACAGGGAAGATGTCAGGCCAGGACTTCTGACGCTGGCTTATAGGCACAAGAGGAAGGATGTCTGTTTCAGAAGATGCACATGAGCTGGTATCAGTTTCTGATCTGATAATTTTCAATGTCGCCTTCTCTGGTAACTCTTGATTATCAACTAGACAGCTGAGTTGTCCACCAAAGTCAGGATCCTCATAATGCAAGGTAAACTCAAAGTCCAGTCTTGGCTTGGCTTTATGCTTTACGCAGTATGTTGATTAGTTCTTTCACCGACTCTGGTCGCTCAGTCAAAGTTACCTTTATAGCAACATCTGTGGTAACATAAACACGCAGCAGAAATTTTGGGGTTGCTGCCATCTTCTGAGGGACAAGTCTATGTATGAAGATTGACATGGAAAAATAAGCAGATTTAGTAGTGCATACAAAAATGTAACTGCTAATTATCACCCTTTACATACTGTAAGTTTACCCTTGTGTTAAAATATGATCTAAGATCTACTAAGTATTTTTTTTTAAATCACAAGATGTAAATGCACTTTCAGTGCAACAATATGAATCGTTTGGGCGTCAACAGCAATTTTCCTTCTACACTGTATGCAGAGAGGGGTGAGTTGTCATTGAGCTCTGATACACTGTGGACAGTTACATTGCCTGGGAAAAGTTCATATGATCTCAGGTGTTCAATGTAGTGTGATTTGTGTCCTTGGCAAAGAAAAGTGACATCATTGTTAACAAGGAGGATCTGCTGGATTTTGCTAAACTGAGGCAGTCCCCCCTCCTGCCCTACAGATACAAACATCCCAACATCATAATCAGTACCATCAATAATGGTTTTTGATGTGCTGTAAATCAGGTTGCTGTCTGTTTTTTCCTTAATGTGTTCTTTTGCAACCTCAGGAAGCTCTGAAACCAAGACAGAGGAGACATTTGATGTCTGCTGATGTGGTTTAAAGAATGATGGTGCACTGAGATAGTAGGCCATCATGTGCTGATGCCTAGTCGCTAGTGTTTTTAAAACATTCTTAAAGTTTAGTGTGTCATGTACTACACGCTTGAAAAAGCGGTGTTTGCCCTCGAACCCATAGTCCACAAATGGACAAGAGGCCCAAAACACTGTATGAGATCTGGGTAGTGTTCTACATAATGATGTTTAGGGAGCAGTGCGAACTCTGGGAAAACCTCCTGAAGCATGTGTCTGTGATCCTGTATCTTAGTCTGCAAATACTGGATAGATGCGTCATCAAATGTTGGGGACAGCACAAGCTCCACAACATCTTTCAAATCCATCAATACAGTCCAAGCACCATCTCCCTCAGGGACTGTATTACCAATCATCAATGGGAGTAGTCTCAACAATGTGCTATTTTCGTGGCCATTGCCACCAATGGTCCTCTTTGCAGCAAAGTTCTTTGAAATAGGTCGTGGTTTATCAATCTTGTCTGTGTGTTGGTACGGGAATGACACAATTTTCCAGTTCAAATACTCAAGAGTAAAATATTTGAGCCGAATCATCTCCTTAATACATAGGGCCAACTCAACAGGTACAATACCCTCAAAAAGATCATGCAGGACATCAGGTGGGAAACCAGTGATGGTATGAAAATACTGCAACATCTCTCTCAAGACACAGTCCCCTTTGACACCACACTGGCTTTGACCACCCTCTTGCGTAACATCCTGCACATCACAGTCATGACTGGCTTTAGTCCTTGGACTAAATTCACCATCTCTGACTTCGAGAGACAGAATTTGGTCTCGTGTAGCCTTGCAGAATCTACAAATATATCCTGCTCTGAAGGATTGCATAAAGCCTGCCAATGAGTGGGCTGCCAGATTATCAGACACAACACATAAAACAGTTCCACGGACTGACTGACCAAGGCACTCAATGAATACGCCATCTTCCTCAAGAATGTGAAGGTCTTGTAGCAAAGGACCAAGTACTCCTTGATAGCCACACCTCTTAAGATCAGTTACCTTGCATAGTGCTGCTAGCTGAATCACATGCAGTGCTGATCGGTATTTAACTGGCAAATCAGCAACCACCCAGTACACTGAACAGAGTTTATGGATTTTCCTTGAAGTGCCTAGTGGATTTGCAATTTCAAGGTCATCAATGTACAAAATCAGTGGCAGTGACAGCTCTGAAGAAGACAACAAATTATTCTCTTGGAAATATGAGCCATCTTGATGGCTCATGTAATGGCCTTTTTCTGAGCTCTTGGTTTCCTTGATTCTGTCAAGGATGTCAGTATGTTTGAACATTTTCTGGATCATCTGGAGTATAGGGACATAGACCATTGTGCATCCAGGCTATAATACATACTGCACTGGCATTACCACAGGGTAGTTTTTCTCAATAAATGTTTTTCTTCGTTTAGTTGAGGACAACTCCTCACCTTTAGCTGTGGCACTGAAAAAAATATTTGTGTCTATAACAGCATTCACCAAATCATTCATGATTGCTTCAGTAGGAGAGACATGATGCCTCTGTAGTATCTCTTGTATAGTATCTTTGACAAGAGGTTGAGACAGGGAAAATATCTGAGTCAGGTGATCAACTATTTCCTGAGATGCCATGTCAGAAACATGAAGAACAGTTTGCATCTTCAAGAACAAGGAGGACAAATTATGGTGTAACTGGGCCCTTAACTGGCTGGTGTCACACCAACTGTCAGACTCAGGAGAAGCAGATGTGCCTGCATGGTGACACTGAGCAGGATCCTCGTCCTCAAGAACAGCAGTGTTTATGACTGGTGCACTATCATTCTCTGTTAATACAATGTCATCACAAAAGTTTAAACTGCCTTCATGTGTCCTACTTTTGTGTGCATTAAATGATGAATAGACATTTGTGCGGTAGTTGCAGTCCTTAAATGGGCAAGGTACATTCTCATGGTTTTTTAAATGTCCTCTTAAATGACTGAACAGTGTCACCTCTGAGAAAGGCTGTTTGAACTCACACAATGGACACTTAAAAAGTGTATGTCTTACTTGTGCTATTTCACCTGCACCAGTTCTGCATGTGTCTTTGTGGACACGTGATAAATGAATTTTCAATGCATTAAATGATGGAAATGTACAAATACAAGAGTTGTGGAGACATGGCAAAGGGCTAACTCTTGAATAATGACTATGCTGTAAACGGTAGTGCCTAAATAAATGGGCCCGGGTGTCTGAAGTGACAGCACACAACTTGCACTTCCACTCCATTGAATCATTTGACCACTAAAATTCCTTATGCTTCAGACTCTCTACTTATAAACTTAACATAGTTAATGTTCCTGCATGTGAAATGTGTGATTACCACAGAAAGGTCAGACTTGTTCAATATTTGGAGTAAGTTGGTTCTGTGGGCACAGATAAAACAATCAATATGAAACCTCTTTTACAACCTCTTTTACAAATTAATGATACAAAATATGATACAAAATTTCAAGTGTTAATGTAACTTACCGATAAAGTTGAACTCTGGTGACAATGTAGGTCTGCACATGCACACAAAAACAGACAGCAAGATATTTAATTTTTAAGAGACTTTTGATTGATTTACTCAAGAACAGAAAAAGCAAAAATAATCGGCAAAGAGTGGGTTTTATAGATACTATTACAACTCACTTTGCAAAAAAACGATCAAAGTCTTCAGTGTCCATGAATTCACTGCTGACTGCATAAAATCTAGACCAGGGCTGACCCCCCAACCAGTGAAGCACTTTATGACCAAGAGTGCAAATAACAATGTTATCAGATTTCAAAATACAGGTGAAACACAAATAAAATAAATGGTGAAAAATAGGTTACAGCCTAAATTAACATTTGAGTCACCTTGATTTTGGGGGATGCACTTCTCTGTACTTCTTCCACTTCAACCTATAATGAAAAGACGTTTGTAAAGGTTTAATGAAAACTTGCAGAGTTCATTCGTTAACTATTAACCCATAACCTTAACTTTGTTTGAGTAAAAGTTACAGCTAACTTTAGCCACTAGCTCATTTGGGTGCATGTAACGTTAAGTTGGGAATAACATCACATTCAACTTACCAGAGCAGGGCGCTTAACACAAACAGTAGCAACACACTCAAAAACGGAAGGACTATCGCTTGCTGAAAAGAGTTAATAACTACCGTTAACATTATTGTCTTGCCACGACATTAACAGCACACATGATATTATCTGTCACTAGCAGGCGGACTAACGGTAACGTAATGGCGCTCGCGCTTTCGGCGCATAAAAAATGCGCGCGGCACCGTGAGGCTGCGCGCTTGCAACTTACATATTAAAAATAGCCTCGTCTAACAGTCAAATATCATGTGAAATATGATATTCTTACAATGTTACAACAAGCAAAGTAGTTTTGAAGTGTTTTGGCTTACCTTAAAGTTGTTTAATGCTTGATACCACGTCGCTCGAGAGGGTATCCATCTTGGATAGATTTTTCAGGTAACGTCAGCTAGGACAGCACGTCATGACGTCATATCACGTGATCGACAGTACACTTAAAAATATTGAGTGAACCAGCGGTGTTCACTCAGAAATGCTGAGCCACACAAATATAAAAATACATATTTGTTTATAGACATTAATAGTTTAAAGGTGGATTAACTCAGCAAGAGATTTTAACTGTAGTGACCTCAGTCTTTATAAGCTAGTAGTACTGTTCGGGCTTACAGTGTAGGCTTCCGGTTATGACGTGCAGCTGAACAGTCGCACGAGTAAAGCTCGCAACTAAATACTCACAGAAACTACTAGAAAGACCACCATATCCCGTATAAAAGTTTTTGGAAATCACTTATAAGTTCGGCGGGACGAAATGCCACCAAAAGCCATCAAATCTGGGCACCACTCGAAGCCATCTGCTCAGTTGGAGGAGGAAAACGTGGAGCTAGTAAGCAAAAAGCTAACTGAGGCACAGGTTGAATCTAATACGACTACAAATGATGACATCCTCAGTGCAATTCAATCTTTGAAAGCTGACTTTACGAAACAATCCTCTGACATGCTCGATGCTATAAATGGCATAAAATCAGACTTACTGTCACAGTCCCAAAGAATAGGCGAGGCAGAAGAGAGAATCGCACAGACCGAAGAGGACGTCTCAACCCTTCAACACAGAGTTAAAAAACTTGAAGACTCGACAGAATTTCTAAGAAACAAAGTGCAGGATCTGGAGGACCGCGGAAGACGTTCAAACCTGAGATTAGTCGGCCTGCCCGAAAAAACAGAGGGGCCTAATATGTCCGCTTTCATTGAAAACTTGCTCCCCAGGCTTCTAAACGACACGTTCAGCTCCGCGCCGGTTATCGAGCGAGCTCACCGTGTAGGACAGGTCAACCCAAATCGTTCGGGGACTTCAAGAGCGATAATAATGAAGTTCCTTAACTATCAGGATAAGGAGAAAGCTTTGAGAGCAGCAAGAAAAATTAAGGACTTACGATATGAAAGACATCGGATCAGCCTGTTCCCGGATCTGTCAGCCGAGACGCGGCAGCGACAACGCCAGTTTGATGGAGTGAAAGCCCAACTTAGGGACATGGAAATCCGCTATGGTATGCTCTACCCAGCACATCTGATAGTTACGCACTCCGATCAGCGCCACATCTTTAAATCGGTCTTGGAGGTTGAGGACTTCATTCGATCAGTGCGTACCTCAACTTAATCGCCATTGGCAAGTAGAGACTTGTTAACAGGACTTAATTCCCGTGTTTATTAAACAAATGTAAAGTTCTGAGTGGTCCAATTCACGTGACAATATGTTCATATTTGATTAGAACTGGGATAATGTTACCTCAGCAGATTACTGTCTGTTTAAGTGTAGTTTAATATGTTTCATTTCTTTAAATAAGCTACGTGAGTAGCCTACACAACTTTACGAATAATTTGAAAAAAGTCACATTTTAAGTTGTGCCCATGTTATATGAGGGTGGAATTATGGGAGTGATCTCAATTATGTTAGTGGTCCAGTTTTGTTATCTATTCAGTTTATTAGTTTGCGAGCCCAGAGGGGTGAATAACGATAGTGAGCCTGCAAAAGGTTGCTCCATGTTATATGGATCAAGCGTGTTTCATAACCAAAGTCGGTGATTGGGGGGTATTTCCATGCTTTCCGTTTGGGGGAATGTATGGGGGGCGGGGGGTTGTAGTGGAATCAATATTTTATTTTTTATATTTTATTTTTCTTGTTTTTCTATGGTTTGTTTGGACACAGCTATGTCTACATGGTAACACGAGATAGTAAACGATTAGTAAGTCAAAGATAAGTATCTGTAGCTGGAATACAAGAGGGCTAAATAACTTAGTAAAACTTAAACAAGTATTAAGTAGACTGAAACAAATGCGATCAAATATAGTTTTCTTACAGGAAACACATTTAATAAAAGACGATATCAGTAGGGTCACAAAGAGATGGCCAGGTCAGGTTTTCAATGCCTCTTTCACCTCTCGAGTTAGAGGAGTCATGATCCTCATACACAAGTCTGTTCCATTTCAGTTAAGACAGCAACATATAGATCCGTTAGGGAGGTACATAGTTCTCAACGGTACGATTTTGTCAACACAAATTAATCTAGTAAGTATATACGCTCCTAATATAGACGACCCTTCCTTTTATCAGAACTTCTTTCTCACAATATCATCATATCCTGGAAATTATGTAATTGGCGGAGATTTTAATTGTGTGTTAAACCCAATATATGATCGCTCTTCAGGAATAGATAATACGCATCAACAATCCAAAAAAATTATCATAAAGTATATAACTGATCTGAATTTAGTGGAAATATGGAGGTATCTTAACCCAAGTAAAAAAGAATATTCATGCTTCTCAAACACACACAAAACATACTCGAGAATAGATTATTTTTTAATTTCCAACAGCTTAGTTTCAAAAGTAGGAAGATGCTGGTACGACAGTATATTATTATCTGACCATGCCCCGGTTACTTTTACACTCCAAATTGACAATCTTGTGTCTTCCCCTCCCAGATTTCGTTTTCAAGCAAGCTGGCTCCTTGACCCTGACTTTGTTAAATTCCTGGAGGACAAAATAGATCTTTACTTTCTAGTTAACAAAAATCAGACAAGTGCTTCAATCAAATGGGAGGCCTTTAAAGCCTATATCAGGGGGGAGATATTAAGTTATACAAGATATAGATCAAAAGAATATAAGACAAAATGAGTAAATTTGGAAAAGCAAATTAAGGTATCAGAGGAACACCTTTTTAGCAACAATGACCCTGTAAAGCGAAAAGAACTTCTTGTATTAAAAGCCCAATACAACGAATTAACCAGTACAAAAATAGCTAAGAGCTTGATGTGGCTAAAACAATCCTATTACGATCAGGGAGAAAAACCCGGAAAGTTGCTTGCATGGAGAATAAAAAAAATATAAACAGATAGAGCCATTAATTCATTAAATTTGGAGGAGGGGGTGAATATTGTAGATCCATTGGAAATAAATAATAATTTTAAATTGTATTATGAAAATCTGTACAAATCTGAATACACTAACAATTCCGAAGGGCAAGACAGCTTTCTTGATAAACTTAATTTTCCTAAATTATCAGAGGGGATAAGAAGTGACCTAGAGAGGAATCTGAGCATAGAAGAACTCTCGGAGGCATTACAGGGCATGAGTAGTGGAAAAGCCCCTGGGCCTGATGGTATCCCAATGGAAATTTATAAAAAATTTGCAGGGAAACTTTTACCACACTTGCTTGAAATGTTCAACGAAGCATTTGAAAAGGAAATACTACCCCCATCATTGAGATCAGCACTAATTACCCTTATATTGAAGCCAGGCAAACCCGCTAATGAAAAATCATCTTATAGGCCCTTATCTTTAATGTCATGCGATACAAAAATCCTCTGTAAGGCCCTAGCTAAGAGAATTGAAACATTTATACCGAACCTCATAATGAATGATCAAAATGGGTTTGTGCTGGGAAGGCAAGCCCTCCATAACATACGTAGAGTCCTAAATATACTATATAAAAAACAAAATGCCAAGGACCATGCAATCCTGTCGCTCGATGCGGAAAAAGCCTTCGACAGGATTGAATGGGGATACCTTTTCGAAGTGCTTAAGAGATTTGGGCTAGGTGATGGGTATATTAAATGGATTAGGCTCCTTTATAATGATCCGCAGGCAGAAATAATAACAAATAACCACATTTCAAAACCCTTTAACTTAAGTAGAGTGTTATTTTTATTTGCAGTAGAGCCACTTGCAATGGCAATCCGGAGTAGTTCTGAAATAAAGGGCATAACAATAGGTGAGAGGGAACATCGTTTATCTTTGTTTGCAGATGATATTGTGGTTTTTCTTACAAATCTAGACCCTTCTATTCAAGCGCTTAATTATATACTAACTGAATTTGGAAAGTTTTCAGGTTACAAAATTAACAATAATAAAAGTGCCCTACTATTATTGAATGGAGACGAAAGGAGTAGCTATCCGATCTCTAGGCAATTTGCCAGCTCTCCTGAAGGTTTTACATACTTAGGGATTAAGATAACCCCAAACCTAAAAGAAATCATTCCAAGGAATTACGACCCATTAGTAAAGAAAGTTATGGACTCACTCGAGAGATGGAATTCACTGCCAATTTCTATTATTGGACGTATAAGTATCCTTAAAATGTCGATCCTACCTAAATTTTTATACCTTTTCCAATCAATTCCACTCCCTCTTCAACCTTCCTTCTTTGCTATACTCAAGAAAACATTCGCAAGATTTATATGGAATAATAAACGTCCTCGGTTACGTCTCTCCTTACTCTACCTACCATTCGAGCGGGGAGGGCTTAAAGTACCAAATATAAAACTTTATTATTGGGCAGCTCAACTTTGTTCTGCTAGATACTACTTCATAGACACAGACATTCCAGCGTGGATAGATATAGAAAAAGATGCAATAATGATTCCATTACGAATGTATCTTTACTCTTCTTCAATTAAAATGCTCAAAAAAACTACGAATAATCCTTTCCTTAGGAACACCATTTTATTATGGTATGAAGCTCACAAGTTTCTAGATGAAGCAATCACAATGTCAGGTTTGTCACCAATTTGGGGTAACACAAAGTTTGTACCGGGTAGAAGTGATAAGGGATTTGAAAACTGGATGTATAAGGGAATAAGTCAAGTAAAAGATTTATACGAGGAAGGTACAATGTTATCATTCCAACAATTGATGAGAAAACATGATATCCCTCAGAAACATTTTTTTAAATATTTACAAATAAGAAGTTTTATACATTCTGAAATTAAAAACTATTCAGAACCCCCTTTGTCAACTATAGAAAAGCACACTTTAAAGCATTTAAGGGACAAGGGTAATCTGTCATTACTTTATAATATACTTTTAGAGGGATCAAAAGATAGTTCGCTGTCTTATTTAACAGCATGGAAGAATGATCTTCAGGAAGACATTTCTAAAGAAGAGTGGATGGAATCCTGTTTATTTGCCCAAAATCACAGCATCAATACTAGGAGTAAATTACTTCAATATAAATGGCTTTTGCGGACATACATCACCCCAGTTAAACTACATAAATTTAATCCAAATATTCCAGATAGTTGTTCAAAATGTAATCAAGGAATTGGTACACTTTATCATTGTGTATGGGAGTGTAATGAAATTCAAGGATTTTGGAAGGAGATTGTTTTT